CTGTTTTGGGAAGATATGAAATATGGGATTGTGTGTGTGTGTGTGTGTGTGTGTGTGTGTGTGTGTGTGTGTGTGTGTGTGTTGTAGTCAGGGACTTGTCTCTTCCTTGGCTTTTTCACTCAAGGCTGGGACCATACCACTTGAACTACACCTCTTCCAGCCTTTTAATGGTTAATTTGAGATAAGACTTTCTCAGGGGCCGGGTAGGTGGCTCAGTGGTAGAGCACTTGCCTTGCATGCATGAGGCCCTGGGTTCGATTCCTCAGCACCACTTAAACAAAAAGAAAAAAGCCAGAAGTGGCGCTGTGGCTCAAGTGGTAGAGTGCTAGCCTTGAGCTAAAGAGCTGAGGGACAGCCACCAGGCCCAGAGTTCAGGCCCCATGACTGGACCCAGAAAAAAAAAAAAGAAGGAATCTCTCAGATTTTTCTTCTAAGACTGCCTTTGAACTGTCATCTACAGATCTCAGCCTATAGAGTAGCTAGGATTACAGCTGTGAAGCACCAGCACCAGACTGTCATGTGATGGTTTTGACCTAATGAGTCCTAGGAATTTGTTAAGTGGAAAAGAACTTGTGAGAAATACTTCTCATGAGCTTGGATGTGAAGGCCCAGCCAAGCAGCAACTTTGGGGATGATAGATGAAGGCCAAGGTTCAGCCTGCCACACATAGTGTGACACCTTTTGGCATCACTGACCAAGACATTTCTAGGCTTTCTCTGCATCATGTCAATGTGACTTCTCCATCCCTCATAGCAGGTGTAAGTGGCAGACACAGGAAGTAGAGATAGGGTCACACATACTTCCAGTATCCCACACTATCCCAAGCCAGCCCTGGGGATAGAGGGATGGTTTGTGCTCAGTATAGAGAAGCATCATCTCACAGCTGGGCTGTGCAAAATCCATGCTGTGGAGGTCCTGCTTGTCCTCAGAAGGCATACTGGGATTATAGGACCAAGAGGCATTGCAGGCTACACCGAGGAGATGGCAGCTGACCTGAAGACAACAGGCTTCACAGAGAGTCCTAGCTCCACACTCAACAGGATGTTGAATGAATGTGCTTGGTGAGCAGCTGAATGAATGTCCCTGAGGATGCTGGCATCTAAACCAACCTCTTCCTTCAGCTGCCAGACAGGCAGCTGTCCCTTGACATCATTGTCACTATGGTAGTGGGGTTTCTTTGGGAACCCCAACATCCTCACTGCACAGAAGTTTCTAGAAAGAAATGTTCTCCGAGACCTCGACTCTGAGCTATTCTATTACCAAGAGAAAGGCATAGAGCTTTCTGCAGAGCGACTGAAAGCCACTTTCCCACAATCAACTACATGCATTAAAAGGAGGGATTTTTTTTCTGTTCTCCTCAAGCCAGATTCCATTAATGAAGCCCCATTTAACAGAAGTCAATTTACCAAAAAGAAAAAAAATTGAGTGTAATTGCTTAAATACATTTTATGTTGCAGTGCAAGCAGCAATTTACTGGGCAAACTTGGAATTCCCTAGGCCCCCCCAGAGTGAAGTTAATGTGGACATAAAGATTTGTGCTCCTCTACTTTAATTATGATTCTGAGAAGGATCCTGGGGGGAGGGTAGGAGGAAAAGTAACAGGATAGAATTCATTCCAACCTGTACCACTACCTTCCTTCATGCTTACATGGATTGATGTCTAACATGATGACTCTGGATGGAATGGCAAAGGCTTGAATCTTAACTTGAGTAAATTTCCTTACCTCTCTGTGTGGCCAGTTGACTCAATGAAAAAGAGCATAAAGAGCAAACTGTACAAAGGCAGAGAAGCATGGGGAGCAATGTACTCTTCTATTTGATGTATGTGTGTATGTGTGTGTGTGTGTATATACGTGTGTGTTCATGTACATGTGTGTACATGCATTCAGGATGAAAAGGCAGGCAAGAGTCAGACCAGGAAGGCTCCACTACAGCATAAGGGGCAAGAAGGGAAGGAGCAAGGGAGTTGGAGGTCAAAGACCTGTGTATCATGGCAAGGTCTTCTACTCTGAGGACCAGAGTCATTGAAGGTTTGTTTCATTTTACTTTTAAAGTATAACTTAAATAAAACTGCCTGTTGTAAATGCACAGTTCTTTGAGCTTAGACACATGTATCCATCCCATATAGTTAATATCTCATTTAAGGTGGAACATTTCTATTAAGTATGATAGTGTATGCTTGTAATCCCAGCTATGTAGGGAGCAGAGCTTCCCAACCTGAGGCCAGCTCATCAAAAAGCCTGAGACTCTATCTGAAAAATAAGACAAAAAAGGATTGAAGGTGTGGCTCACATGGTACAGCACCAGCCTAATAAGTGTGAGGCCCTGATTTCAAATTCAAGTGGCACCAAAAAGATTTGTTAAAAAAAATGATAAGGAACATAATATTATTCCCTTATTCTTCCTAGCCAGACATTTCCCATATTCTGGTGTCACCCCAGCCTTGGTGACCAGGAGTCTGCTGCCTCACCAATCTCCTGAATGAATCACAGTTGCACTCATACCGCACAGCCTGGAACTCCTCACAGGGTAGTTTGGCCCATTATTGAAGGGGTTAGATGAAGAGCTCTCCTCCATGCAGGTGCCCAATGCTTACATAGACCAAGGAAACTCTGAACACCATTCAGGGGTCTTGAGTCCTTTTTCTACACCAAATAAAGAAGAGGATCAGGAGGAAGAGGAGGAGGAGGAGGAGGACCACATTGACAAGGAAAGACTTCTTGGTACAGAGTGAGAACTGAGACCTGGAAATCAGTAGCCCATTGTAAGATTTTCAGTGTCCCCCTTTTATATCCCTTTGGGTGAGTTTCAGCTATTGAGGCTTTTGGTTGGGTCACTATCCACCTCCTCACTCCAAAGAGAGGGGCACCTGTCTCCTGCCCCAACGTCATCAGGGGGCTTTGCCTTCTGTCAAAGCTGTTATCTGTTTCCCAGAGTCTTCAGGAAGAGGCAGGGATGTTGTTTCCACCAGGCCACTATCTCTATCTACCTACTCTTTCCCTTTCTGCCTGTCTCTCACTCTCAACACTTAACCTATGGCACCTGGGTGGCACAGAGCCCTGTATTCTGGAGTCAGGAAAGTGAACATGGCAGGATTCCTGGAAGGGCTCAAGGTGAGGGAGAAAGTACAGCGAGTTAAAGCAATCAATTCCTCCCTCTGACTTCCAGTTACCATCTTGATCATTAACCTCACCTTGCTTCTGAGACCCTGTCCTCTCCTCTTATTCCATTTTGCAATAAGGAGTTTTGGTTCTGAATTATTCAGGTAAATTCTCCCTCCTTCTACTTCCTTATGTAAATAGCCTGCAAGCTTTGTCACTAAAATGGAATTGAATTTGGCCTGGAGTAAAAAAAAAAAAAGCCCACAATACCATTTGAGGCACCTTAGAAAACTTAAGTGACTCACCCCGTAATAAACTATCTTAACTGGGGGAGCTGGTGAAATACAGTAATTAGTTTCTGTAATAGTTCTTTCAGAGCAGAGCAGTCTGGGTTATATGCCTAGAGTTTTCTTTGTGTCAGCATTTTCATTAGAGTAAAAATTCCATGTTGCAGGGTATTAAAGCTCCTTGGTTAACTCTTTTGTTCAATGCATATTTATGAAGAGCCACTGTGCTGGACCTCTGATATGTGCCCTCCCTGTCCTCCCCCTTTGCCCTCTCCTTCCAGCTCCGTGCCTTGGGAAACTTAACCTTTAAGGAAGCATCAGAATCTCTTTACTTGTGTCTACTAATTGGATAATTCAACAGAAACACCCATAAGAGATTGGAGGAGAGGAAAAAGTTAGTTTTGGATATACATTCCTTGCTCCCTCTTGGTTAGTTTTTCCCAAACAAGCTATGCCATTGGCCATGCAGTTATACATTCTAGGATCTTGCCTCTTCTCCTCTCCAGGAGGGTGAGTGGTAACAGGCCGACCCGTTACCACCCCTCCCTGGTGATGTCCTCCAGAGCCTGGGAACATCCCCAAGAATTTGCTTTGCCAGGCACCATGGGAGGATCTGTTGTGGATTTTTATTTCAGTGAATCTTTGCAGCCTTTCAAAGGAAAGGTGGCTCTTGTGTACACATATAGTAAGGTTGCTGAGCTGTAGAGGGTTGAGGTGATTTTTCCTGAGCATGCACAGCTGACCCCTCCAGGACGTGCACTTCCTCATTGCTTGCCCAAAGATGATCACATCTGGATGGCTGCATTGTGTTTGGAACAAACTCCTTGCTTGCACCGTGTGGGGAAGAAAGTTGTATGCAGTGTGTTACTATGTGCTGAATTCTGAGCCTCTTCTCTCGTTTCTTTCTGCGTACCCAGCACTGGTGCTCTTATTCTTAGAATGAATCACAAAGCAAACTTATAGTTTGACATAATAAATACATGAAAGCCAAAACACTTGGTGGGTGGTGTGCCAAAGGGAGGAGAAAAGATGAATGGAGAGAGAAGAAGGACTTGTGAATACAGTCTCATAATATTCAATGTACATATGTGAAAATGGAGCCAGGTAACTGGAGGGCCCAGGGTTGGGAAAGATGGGGGAGAGTGTTGGAAGGGTGACATTGGCCAAGAGGCAGCGTACTCATCAACTGATTTGTTGACCCGAAACACTGTTGTGCAACTACTTGAAGATAACAATAATTTTATATAATTAATAAAAATCACAGGTCTGAGGCGACAGTGAGGAGACCTGTGTCTTCAAGGCTGAATAGAAAGGCTCCCCTGGGACAGCGATACCCCTGGTGCTACCTGGAGTCCTCCTAGGTACCTAGATGAGGCAGGAGAAAAGGTAGTGGATGAGAATGTTCCAGAAAGATGAGGCAAAAACCAAGCAAAAGAAGCAAGTATGCAGAACTTAGCTCCTCTTGACTGCCAGTATGACCTACTGTTCTTTCGCTTCTGCCTCAGGCCTGAGCAGTGGCTGAGCGTACCATGGAGTGGGGGAAACTACTAGATGTCTAGGTGCCTGTCTGCCAGACACTGCTCCCTGACCTGTCTGTCTCCTGTCTCCACAGGTTCACTGGAGCCAGCCTCCCAGCCCCTGTTATCAGCAGCAAGAACTGGCTGAGGCTGCACTTCACATCAGATGGCAACCATCGGCAGCGTGGATTCAGTGCTCAGTATCAAGGTAGGTGGGTCCTGGGGCTAAGGCTTCCTCTGCAGGAGGCAGACACAGACTAGGATCCTGTGTGGCTTTGGGGAACCCTTGCCTTTAGCCTGCTCCAGTTTTCAGACTCCCAGATCTTGACACCTGAATCTGCACCTGCCTGTGGGGTCCTTTGTCCCAGATAACCTGCCCCTTGTCAGACTTAATTGTAATAGGACTCTGGAAGCACCTTCCAGGGACCAGTGCTTGGCATTTGATAGACATTATTGCCTGTAACCCCAAGCATTACCCATGAGTTAGGTTTCCCACTACCCCCACTTTCCAGACAAGGAAACTGAGGCTAAAAGAAGGTAAGCCTGCTTCCATGGCTACCTGCACTACCTGAGACAGAGCCAGAGCCACCCTGCCAGCCAGCCATGCTAAGCCAGGAAGCATCTCCCATCTCTCCACTTTCCAGTCTTTCTACAACAGGAGTACTCACAGACATCACATGAAGGACCATCCTGCCTTCCATGCTCAGGTCTGAAAGAACTGTCTAGTGGTCAGAGCTAGATCAGCAGGTGGACATCCCAGGGAAGAGCCACCTGTAAGGAAGGAGGGGCTTAACCTGGCAGGCAGGAGCTCCATCCCCGAGGGTTCAACTCCAGTGGCCGCATGGGAGGAAGACCTTCCTTTCAACCTTGAGTTTATTCTAAGTACTCAAAATGTATAAACATGGAGGCTGGCCTCATGATGTGCTCGTTAAGTCCTCATTATTACCAATCACAAATTGATGTTCATTTTAATAGACTCGGCAATGCACTTATATTGTGTACATATTACGTCGAAGGTCCTCTACGAGGCTCTGGGGCCTCAAGGCCAGGTACTAGCTAGCTCCTCCTGGAGGCAGCTCAGCCCCTCCCCTAGCTCTCTGGGGCCAGGCTCTGTGGCTGGAATCCAAGATAACAGCTGCAGTAAGGGCAGAGGCATTAGCTCAAAATCCAGGCCTCTTAGGACTCTCATTTAACTAGCTTAGCATAGTAGGACACCTTAGAGAAACGTAAACAATAAGAAGAGACCCCCTCGGTCTAAAGCCTGGCCCCATAGTGTCGGTGGTAGCATCTTGCTTCTCCTGAACTGGGCCAATGTGTGCAGGGAGTACCTGTCTCAATCTTGATGCTGTGTTTTACAGAATAGAAAATCAGAGCTGAACGTTATAATTTCTTCTGATTAAATAAGTGCTGGCTGTGTCTAATACTCGCAGTTCCCGAGGACCCATTTGTCATTGTAGTAGGTTACAGTTTGATGCCAAGAACAGTAACAGGAACACAGACCAAGCAGTCTCTAGATCACACACGGACTGAACCCCGACTACATGCCATGCTCTGTGCATTTTCCCTGTGTCCATCGTTTCCTCCTTTCTTCCACATAGACATGTGGGCTTTGGGTCTCATTTTTTTTCAGCTGAGCTCAGAGAGGTTATGTAATAGCCCAAGATCACACAGCTCATAAGTGATGAATTGTGAATTCATTTACAAGCCAATGCAAGTTTCTTTGTAAAGTTACAGGGACTTTGTTTTATCATGGTGCTTAGGGTATCTTCCAATTATTTGACCAATTAATCTGTTTTGTTAATCTCACCCTCCATAATAGATATATGTTTATAATATGTTTATGTATTATCATATATATCATTAAATATATTATGTAATACATAATGCATTTATATGTATATACATATATAATAATCATATTACATATTATAGAATATATATTAAAATGCTTATTTTATGTTCTACCTTACAGTAGCTAATATATGTTACACATTGTTATATGTCTCATAGAATATATGACACAACATATAATATATCTTATAAAATATGTGACACTATATAACATATATCTTATAGAATACAAAATGTGATATATAACATCTGGTGTTATAGAGCTTATAGGAAATATAATATTTAGTAACCCGTAATTCAGGGACTAGCCCAGTTGTGGGCACTTGCACTTCGGGCTTCACCCATCCTAACTGGAGTTATGTGAAGCAGGTATATTGTTGACCCTATTTTATAGGGGAGGGAGAAGAGGGGGCCACAGGCCCAGGTAGCATTAACAGTGTGTTGAGTGTGGGATTTTGAAACCTGGTATTGTTAGTATGGCTCTGAACTGCCTCATTGTGTTAGTGTGTCAATACATGATTGTCCCCAGGGACGTACTTCTTCTAGTATTTCCCCAACAGGTACATGGTGCAAACACACCTGGAAGACTCCAGGAAGCTGGGTTCCTTCACCCCAGCACTGTGCACGTGGAGGGCTGCACACTTCACCACTTTAGTTAAAGAAGGATCGGTGAAGGGACAGTTTCCAGAGTTGAGGGCTTAGTGGAACTCAAGAGACCATGAGGTCCCTTGCCCCCAGGGACTGACAGCAGGGTGGCTGGCTTAAGGATGCTGTGGAGTATCTGGATCCATGAAGAGGGAGTCCCTGGTAGACCCGTAAAGCTATTGCCAACCCACTGTGTGCAGAGGAAGGGACAGAAAATCAGTAGGTAGTGTTTGGTGAGGGGTCCCAGTGGTCAGTGACCTGAGCCCCACTCCCACCAGTATGCGATGCCTCCCATTTCCAGCCCAACCAGAAGTCAGGACCACCTGCTCTGGCCCCTGGAAGCCCAGCTGGAGTTACCAAAGGCTCGCCCACCCTCTGGTCATCCACAGAGGTCAGCCAGGTTAGGCACAGAGCAGGACAAAAAGTCTGAAGAAAGTCCCTAGCTAGGCAGAAGAGTCATCAGCTTAGGATTGGCTTCACTAGTGCTCAGCCTTTGGTCATTAGACTCCAGTGATTTATGGCCCTTCACAGCTCATAATTACCAACCCCTAATTCTATTGATGGATAGTTTTTCCCTCTAGGAAACAAAAACCTAAGTCATTTTTTGTTTTTTTTTTTGTTGTTGTTTTAAGGATAAGTAACCCTAACATGTTACATTCCATTCTTGTGTTAGTCCAGTGAGGGTTATTCTGGTGTACATCATTCAACAGAGGGTCTGAGCTCGGGCCAAACGGAGTCAGCTATTGAATTCTATGCAACAGCATGAGACAAACATGATCAGTGCCATGTCTTTCTCAAACAAGATAGTTACTAAAGAGGGCTGGGAAGGTGGCTCAGTGGTAGAGCGCTTGCCTTGCATGCCTGAGGCCCTGGGTTCGATTCCTCAGCACCACATAAGCAAAAAGAAAAAAGCCGGAAGTGGCGCTGTGGCTCAAGTGGTAGAGCACTAGCCTTGAGCTGAAGAGCTGAGGGACAGCGCCCAGGCCCAGAGTTCAGGACCCACGACCGGACCCAAAAAAAAAAAAAAAAAAAAAGATAGTTACTAAAGAGGGGCAGACTAAACTGACTAACTTCTACACAGCATGGAGTTGGGACCTTATTAAGAGTCCTAGAATTAGAGATAGTTTTACTAGAGAGAATTAAAAAAAAAGCCGAAAACAGAAGAGAAGAGAAGAAAAGAAAAAGCTGGGCACTGGTGACTCATAACTGTAATCTTGAAGACTGAGTTTCATTGCTAGCCGGGGAAGGAAAGTCTATGACACTCTTATCCCCAAATAACCATCAAAAAGCTGAAAGTGGCACTGTGGCTCAAGTGTTAGAACACCAGTCTGGAGTGAAAGAAGCCAAGAGAAAGCACTAGGCACTGAGTTGAAAACCCAGTACAGACAGACAGACAGACAGACAGACAGACAGACAGACAGACAGACAGGAAAGGAAGGAAGGAAGGAAGGAAGGAAGGAAGGAAGGAAGGAAGGAAGGAAAAAATGGCTTCAAGGTCAGTCTCAACAAGATGTCAGACAGACAGTAGAACAGATCATTCCCAATAGAGAGAAAAAGGCACTTTCTCAATCTAAGGAACCAGAAATATTTATGTGTGTGTGGATTGTAGCACAAATCCAGCCCTCACCTGTTTTTGGAAAGCCTTCAAGTTAGGTATGAGTTTCACATTTGTTTTTTTGTTTTTGTTTTTGTCAGTCATGGGGCTTGAACTCTGGGCCTGAGCGCTGTCCCTCAGTTCTTCAGCTCAAGGCGAGCGCTCTACCACTTGAGCTACAACGCCACTTCCAGTTTTCTGGTGGTTTGTTGGAGATAGGAGTCTCACAGTCTTTCAGTTTCCTGCCTGGGCTGGCTGGCTTTGAACCTCAATCCTCAGATCTCATCCTCCTGAGTAGCTAGGATTACAGGTGTGAGCCACCAGCGCCTGGCTGAGTTTCACATTTTTAAACAGTTGAAGGAGGAAACAAATCAGAAGAAACATAATATTTCATAGCACACATAAAATTATATGGAATTCAGATTGCAGTGTCAAGGTAAAAGGTTTATTGAAGCATGGCTTTGTCATTCACGCAGGCATGGTGTGTAGATGCTTCAGCTGTTACCAGGCAGAAGGGACTGGTCTATGGCAGGGTGGGACCTTCAAGCCTCATGGCTTCACTGCCAGAAGCTTCATACAAAATTTGCTCATCATAGGTGAGCCTGAAAGCTAGAATTCAAATAAGCTCAGGCTTCAAAGTGGCATGCAATCAGGTTGAGACACCCATATTATCATGAAACCCTTGTTGTACTATTAGACTGGCTCCTATAGGTCACAAAAGAGAGGAGAAGTTTTGAGCAAGACAGGCCGTGATCCTATGTCCATTTTAGAACGATCTCTGCTCAAGAATGGAAATGGAACAATTAGGAGTCTGAGAAGTTAATGACAAGGGCAGAGTTCAGGTGGAAGAATGAAGACCTTCCATGGGAGGGGACAGACCAGGAGAGATTCCATGGATACTGCACTGGACTCTGGGAGGGTCTGAGAGAAGGAGGTGAAGTGGTAATGATGAATCTCAGCTTTCCAGCTTGACTTAAGTACATTAAAAAAAAAGACAATATTAGCCAAGTTGGGCCAGGACAGAAGCAGATGAGGGTGAATTTTGCTTTGATTGTGGCCTCTCTCCCTGTATGAGGCAGCCAAGCAGAGCATGAAAGGAAGACATTCCAGGTAGAGAG